CCCCCCCCCACATCCCCACCCTTAAGGAACATGAGGTGCAGAGGAATCCCTTTTCTTCCTTCTCTGGATGTCTGTTGGCCTCCAAACTTTCCTTTGTGGAGCTCAGCAGGGGCGTGGCTTCCTGTATGTGGGCGTGGCATTTTATATATGGGCGTGGTATTTTATATATGGGCGTGGTATATCATGTGTGGGCGTGGCTTCCTATATATTTGTGCCTTTTGATAGCTGGCTGTGGCTGAGGCCCTACGTCAGCAGGACCATTCAGGACAGAGGTGTCCCTGGCTGCATTGTAGTTAAGGACACAAGCATGCCGCTGGTCATGTGTTGTAAAGGGGACAGGAGCGGTGGGGGTGCGGATGTGCAGTAGCAGCAGGGGGCTCCCTGACGCGCCATGACTGAGAAATAGTGGGTTTTAATCCTCAATGGGGTGGAGGACGCCGCTGTTTGTATCTGGGTGGATGCTACCCTTCAGGAAGCAGAACACCGGGTTTTTGGGGCTGGTCCTGCCCCTGTCCTCTTTTTTTTTTTGTTTTGGGGGGGGGGAGGGTGCAGCAGATTGGGCCAGCCACTGTTTCTTACTGCCTCCCTCCCCACGGACTCATGAATGGAGTTAATTTTGGCTGTTTTAGGGGAGGGATGACCGGAGCGTGAGAGAACGCCAACCATCACTGCCATTATTGTCCTGCTAAGGTTTACGCACCTGGTTCGTTTGAGCCGTGGCCGGCATCACGGCTGCGTAATGGGCACAGGCTCACGCACACGCACATGCACACGCAGACACGCAGCCTCTGTGGCCCTCCGTCACGGCACCGTCGCCTGCATTTCTCCTGCTCTTCATGCAGACGTAGGTGCCATTTGGCACGATGGCCTTTCTCTTTCCTGATGTCTGGATATGAACATTTCTGGCCCTCTGGTGCTTGCGGTTCTTATTGCTGCATGTGGCTGTAAGCCCCCTTTTGCCTTTTTTTTTTGTTATCCTTTTCCCTGCTCCGCCCTTCCTCCCTTCCCGGCGCTTCCTTCCTTGCAGTGCTCCTTCCCTCTCCTCTTCGCTCCTCTCCTCCTTCTTCCCCACTCTGCTTTACTCTCTCACTGCCCCACCTCCCTTTTCACACACACACACACACACACACACATATATATGCAGGAACTGTGCAAAAGTCTTAGGCAGTTAAAAGAGCAATTTATCTGCACATTTGCTCAGAACAAAGAACACAAGTAAACATTAGGATATATGGAAATTAAGAGTAAGACAATAAAAACTAACAGGAATTTCTTCTGTTCTCCCAAAAGTCATAGATCTTGCAGGACACCCTTCAGTTCCCAAACCTCTCCTCAGGGGCATCACAGCCATTTCATGTTTTGGTTAAATTTCACCACCTGCTCAATTAATTCATTTAATTTGTTTTTTTTAAAAAGTCTATGGGGTATTGATTAGCTATACCTAGTGTGCTAGTGATCGAGTCAAAGGGCTCTTTTCCACCGCACCAAGTAAAGTACTTTTGGTGCTTTCATTTTTCCTTTGACTTCCGGTCGGGTACCAGTACCAAAAATGCCAAACTAGCTGGGGTACGTCTTTGGTACTTTGGGTGAGATTTGAAAGGCTTTCTTTGTCGATTGGTTATGCATGCCGCTGAAACACAATACAAACGCCACCTTAAACTTTTCAAAAATCAGAAAATAATGATAAACATGTTCTTATGACTAAATCGCATATACAACAAAAAGATCCGGATGGTATGAAAAGAAATTAAGTTTTTTGTTGAATATACTAATACAGCAGGCATGTGATTTTGTTGTAATAAATATTGGGGTATTTATAAAACAAAAAAGGAGTTGAAGATTTGTTTGCAAGAAATTTAAGTGATTTAAATGGCAAGGATGAAAATTATTATGATTGTCTCGGAGAACGTATGCAGCGCTCATGCAAAAGCAGCGGAGGTAAACTTTAAACTGATTTTTAAACATATAACAATCTATGAAAGGAATAATAATTAAATTGCAAAGCTTGTTAAGTTTTTCCCCTATGACAGAGTAACAGTAAAAATATTTTAGCAAAACTTTAACTGCCTGCGCTGTGTCTGTACTGAATTGAAAGTAAGAAAAAGCCTTATTTTAATCTAGCTGAATAGCGATGTTAGAATTGGCATTAATATCGTACATCATCCAAATATACAGAGGTATATTGCATGGTGGCTGTAAACACTGGGGTGATTTTATCAGAGGTTTTGAAACACGTTTGTATTCATATCTTTGTGAGGACCGTCCATTCATTTATATAGGCAAATCCTGAATCCCAACAATGACAACCGTAACCCCGATCACGCCCTAACCTTGACTATAGGTAACCAAACAAAATACCAGACTTTTGGCATTTTTAGTTCTTTGATTGCAGTCACGGATTTTTATAAAACTAAATTTCCCCTTGTGGGGACTGAAAAAATGGTTCCCACAGCATCAAATTTTTATCGCATCGTGGGGACATATGTCTTAATGTAATTTGTACATGACACACACTCCCGCACACACACACACACACACACACAAACGCACTCTGTACCAACATTATTCCAGCTTCCTTTGAAGTGTGCTATCCCGACAGCCCCCTCCCCCGCCCCCCCACGCAGAGGGAGCTGACATCCATCAAAGTGGAGGAGGTTAATCAGCCTCCCTGGTCTCTCCATGTCAATAAGTCAGCCCCCTTAACGCCACCACACCCCCCCGCCTGTGTGCCGGCTGCTGAGGGAATCGCCGTCCGCCTCTGTTCTGCCCCCGCACTGCGTCGCCATCGATTTTGCTCTTTTGGACTGGCGAGTCACGCCTAGTGTCTGCGGCCGTAAGGCACCTCACAAACGCATTGTTATGTTTAACGCTCGATGTGATAAAAACCTGTAGCTTTTTACTTTGTGGGAACATTTTTTCGATCCCTACAAGGATAATCTCAATTTTATAGAAATGTTCGACTGCAATCAAAAAAACTAAAAATGGCAACAATTTTGTAATTTACTTGATTACTTATGGTGAGGTTAGGGCTGGGTATAGGGTTAACTCTCCTGCCCCCTGGTAGGCCATCTTCCATCCACGTAAGGAAAATGGGCCATTCTACTGTTAGACTGCCGACTCCAAGCTGCCCTTGACTGTGCCACATTACGGAATTCCCGCTCTGGTCCGGTTCTGCCCTGGGGATCGGTGCTAACCAAGGCTCTGTCACGGAACAGGTTGGCGGAACCCGGATGCTCGCCTGTTTAGCTAAGGTCCGAGTCGCGCTTTGCTGGATGCGAACACTGCATCTGCGTTTCAGTTTAAACGCATAAAGACCCTGGTTTTCGGACCAGGATTAAGTTATTTCGGAGCGGCCATGGAATGTCAGGTACTGGGAAGAGAGTCGCTCCGCTTTAGTGGTGCCTGGGGATCTTACTAACTCCTTGGACGGGCTGAGACTCTCATTCTTCTCAGTCGACTGTGTCTGAAACGCGCGGCAGTCTGCACGCCGACCCCAGATGCTGCCTCTCCCGCCTCACCTGCTCTCCCACTCCCCCTCTCTCTGTCAGGACGTAGATAATGGGCTGTGTGCAATGCAAGGATAAGGAGGCGGCCAAGCTGACAGACGAGCGGGACGCCAGCATGTCCCAGAGCGCCGGCTACCGATATGGGGTGGACCCCGCCCCCCAGCCCTACCCCGCCTTCGGGGTCACTGCCATCCCCAACTACAACAACTTCAATGTGCTGGACAGCCAGAGGATGACAGTCTTCGGGGGCCTCAGCTCGTCATCGCACACAGGGACCCTGCGCTCTCGCGGCGGGACAGGTAAGCCCGGGCCCGTTTGGGGGAGGGGCGAGCTGTGAGGGTGGAGGGAGGGGCAAGCCATGGGGCGGAGGGAACCCCCAATGGGAGTCGCGGCTTTCTCTCCTGGACCCGCCCGGTGATTTCTGCCCGAAGCGCCTCCGAGCCCACGCTCGCTGAACCTCCTTAACCTCGCATTTCCTCCCCCTGGCATCTCTCTAGCAGCCTTTCTGCTCTGTAATTGTCCCACGACGCCATATAAGTTTGTGAGGGAACAGAGGCAGGGACGTCGTCAGTGACAGCAGGCCAGGGCAGACTGTTCCGGCATGTCGGCGACACTGGATATAAACAGACTGCTTTGTGTTTAGGTCTGCGGTGACCTTTTAGCATGGCTCTTACATTTGACAGTTTTTGTTATATAAGGGTGCGGGTTCCCCGGTTAACCCGGTATTGGGGGGCCAGAGGAAGGCCCCGCTCGCTCCTGAGGCTCACCCGCACCCCGTCGTGCTTTTACATAATCTCCCTCTTCCAGTTGTTTTCGCGACCGCCAGCCTGCTCGGTGTGACTGTGTGGCTGCCATGGTAACCAGCCACTGGTCTCCATCACGTATAACACCCGGGCACCGCTGCCGTTACCTGGCCACCGACGTCTCGATGTCTCTGCGGCCGCCGGCTGGGTTACCGTCCCTTCAAGGTCCGCCCAACCTGTCTCGCCGCAGAGTAGAGCTCTGGGGGTATTCCTCATCTTCAGGAGCTCTCTGTCGATTCACTTATGCCAGAATAAATCAGCTGCTCGGGATTTTACAGGCGCAGGCAGCCGTATGGGGCTTGGTCATTCATTAAGAGGCTGTAGTCGCTTACAACCCGTAAAATCATGGCCTCATGCTGGAAAGTCTCCTTTGTCAGGGGCTTAGAGGTGGATAACGAGGGCTAGGAGGCTAATGAGGGGCAGCGATGATTGGCCCCGCAGGGCCCGTTAATTAGACAGAGCTCTCAGCGCAGGGTCTGGCTGCAGGCCCCTTCCCCGCGGTGTCAGTCTGCCGTTGGGGTCTGAGACTTGGGAGATCCTGGCTTAGCCAGGTCTTTCTCCACTGCTGCCTTCTCTGTCATGTTACATCTGTTTTGTTTATGACTGAAGAACAGTGTCATGTGACTTTGCTTCTATGAGAACCCAGGCATGTACAAGCTCTGGTTGGTTGCATTATTGGGCCTGAATTCCTGTGCTCCCAAAATGCATCCTGTTGGGGTGCCATTCCTGGATTGCATCCCCTGGTTTGTAAGCTAAATTCCTCACATTAAAAGTGAGCAGTCTGCACCGTGTGACATGCAAAATCGACTTGTGCTCAGTCTGGACAGATAAGGTTTATTTTAAGGTCCGTTTGCAACTAATGGTGTGACTGGTGACGGTGCCCCCACTGTGTCCCACAGGCGTGACGCTCTTTGTGGCACTGTACGACTACGAGGCCAGGACCGAGGATGATCTCACCTTCCGGAAAGGGGAGAAGTTCCAGATTCTCAACAGCACGTGAGTGTGGTATTGCAGGATAACCATAGCTGTAACATGACTGTGTGTGTGTGTTTCTGTGTGTGTGTGTGTTTCTGTGTGTGTGTGTGTTTCTGTCTGTGTGTGTGTTTCTGTCTGTCTGTGTGTTTCTGTCTGTCTGTCTGTGTGTGTGTGTGTGTGTGTGTGTGTGTGCGCACACGCTGCTGTTATGGAGGTGCCAGGGCCTCGTGCTTCACCGAAGAACAAGACGGCCATTGTGTCTTTGCCCTCACACTGCGCGTCTGCATTCGCCGGTCACCGTGCCCACACTGCTCACCGACGGCCTTGCCCCGGCACAGCCGAGAGCGCCTGACTGCTCTTCTCGCTCGTGCTCAGTGCGCCTGGTACCGACTTCTGTTCCCTTCACAGTCTGTGCGGTCCGGGGCCGGATCATTCCGGAGCGAGCTTAAGAAGCGTCCCTCACAGGCTACAGCCGTCACGGTTTCCATTCCGTCACCCCCCCCCCCTTTTCATTAAGCTGATCCTCTGTAGCTTTGCAGAGTGATTGACTTTGCTGATTAGGTAGCGTTGTTGTCTGCATATGTGACAGGCATCGTAGTGGATAGCCGTCATCAACCTCATCATCATTGCCATCATCTTCTAACCGATTTTCCTGGCATGGTGGTAGGCTCCTTCTGGGGGATCCCTAGACACTGGTGTGATGTCATTCCTCCAGCAGCCACCCAGTGCGGCGTGCCTGGAACGTCTCCCCTGCCAGCCAATCAGGCGACTCTCTGAAGCAGCAGCAGCTCTATTTCGAGGTCCCCCCGGATCTCTGCACTCCTCGTCCTATAGAGAGGCCCCGTTACTCACGACATTTTTTGTTCAGTCATTACCCACATCTGCTGACCATGACTTGGTGAAGCAAACAGAGTCTCAGGTGCCGTTTGACCGGCATGAACACAAAGCCGAAGCTGAGGAGTTGACCTGCCTCTCATACTCTCACTCCATGTTACTGTCACTCACAGGCAGGATCCCAAGCTGCCCATCTCTCCCCTCCAATCTCCCCGCCCCCTTGAAAGGATCAGTTCATTCTCCTGCTAGAGAACATCAGAGCTGTGGATTTGGAGCTGCTGATTCTCCTCTTAGGCGTCTCGCACTTGGCATAAAGCTGCTCGGATGCGTCCGAAGGCCCCCTCCCATTTGCCCTGAATGCCTCTTAAGCCTTTCAGCTCCCATCTCCAGCGGTGGATAGTTCAGGTCCAGAGAGTAAAAGTCCAGAACGGGATTTTGTTTCAACCAGGCAGTTGAGTATAAAGAGCCACTGTCCACTGGTTGGTTGAAACAAAATCCCAGTCTGGACTTGTACTCTCTGGACCTGAACTGCCCAGCCTGCCCAGGGCTGCTGCTCTCCTCAGGCACTTCCTGGGGTTTGCGTGCATTTATCATGGCTGTTATACTCGCTGCTGGATTCTCTTTGGCTGGGATTGGATTTCCAATGCATCCCTGTCTCGGCCTCCCGCTCCGCCACCCTCCCTGTCATCTTTTCATCGATGTGCTTGTCATTCTGACTTTCAGGCACGAGTAACGTGCCCCTCTTAGGGGAATGCGGGGGCACCCGTCTCGTCAGAGGCCAGACGGAGCCGCGGCACTCAGTCACCCACCCATGCCTGTTCGCCCCAGCTACTGGGCCAGGGCTTCCTCTGAATTGGTGCCCCCTACTGGTAAAAAGTGACAGCACACTCCAGGAGCTATGATGAATGGCAGCATTGCATGGGTCTGACGCAGCATCGTGGGGGGGTTAGGGTGCTGTATAAAAGGCCTCTCAGGAGGGCAGGCTTAGCCTAGCCTTGTTGGGGTTATTGATGTCATTCGGTTTTGCGATTGGATGGACAAACAGTTTTCCCACCATTATTTAATGCAAAAACAAAACAGCTGGTTGTTTATTTCTGTTGTTTTTTGGTCACTGCAGAGGGTGGCAGTGATGTGACAGGCTAATTGGTCTGTATGGGAGAGCCATTAAGGTCACATGGTGTGGGGGGCTGTGATTGGTGAGTGAGGAGCCCCAGCATGTCCCTGGGGAGGGGGGGGGGACATCCTCTCTCTGTATGTTCCCCTTCACACGCTTCCCTTCAACAGGACGTGTCCCGCACGCAGCTACACAGGAAGGTAGGGGGGGTGCCATGTACGGGGGCCTGCCGTTTCTGTCCCATCGGCGAGGAGCCCTTTCGGCACCACTGGGTTACGCCGTTAGAGCGCCCCCTGCAGGGGGGTGTCGCCATGCTGCTCGGGTACGGCCCCTCGCCTTCCCGCCCGAGGAATCCCTGTCATCCTGCTTCCCTCTGGAAACAAAGGAATCCATGAACATTCCTGTTGCCGCACATAGTCCCCTGATGCTGCTGTTTGTCCGCGTGAACGAAAGGGCCTCCTCC